GAAAAAGATGACGAATCGATAAATGAGGAAAAGAATAAGTCTCTCTATTCAAACCTAAGTTTTTTCCATTACCTCTTCACACGAGCAAGAGAAAAACGAACAGGTCATACTTACAGATCGTCGCGCAATATTTAAATTTTATATAGTTTACTTGTATTTTTTATAAAAATAATCTTTCAATTTTATTCTTAAAAATAATTATTGAAATGGAAAATAATACTATGCAAAATATGTCGCTAAATTTTTTATTCTAATTTAATTACAAAAATAGAGAAATGTAAAAGTAGAGATCACAAATTAGATAGTTTATATTTTGATTAATTTGAAACTGACCATTTTAACTATATATTAGATAAATAATATTTTTGAAATTACGAACCATTAAAAAAGAGAAGATTTTATGCGATTCAAGTTTCAAAGATAAATATAAATAACATAACGTTCATGTTTATATCGGAAATATATATATTTAATGTATATAATTGTTGAATTCTATTTTAATAATAATAATTGAGAGAATTGTATAATTAAAGAATTATTATATACACTTTATACATAGTAGTGTCAAAAAAATCATAAATAGTATGTAACATACAACAATAAAAACATTGTAGATACTGTTACACATCACTGGAAAATTTAATGGACATGCTTATGCAGGTAAATGTGTTTACTTCCAACGATACATAATTAAAATGGTCAGTTTCAAATTAATTAAAATATAAACTATCTAATTTTTGAACTCTTATTTCACATGTAATTAGAATAAAAAATTTAGCAATGTTTTTTTACATTGTATTATTTTTTATTTCAATCATCATTTTTTATTTCCCAACATTTAAAATTTAGTGATTATTTTTATTAATTATTCTTATTATTATTTTAAAAATAGTTGGATTATTTTTTTACTTTAACAACATAATCATAACATTATCGTAATGGCAATATAAAACGTTTTTTATTAAAAACTATATTAAAGTATCTTATCGTTTGTGATAAAGTATCTTATCGTTAGTACATATGTGATATAATCTCATTTATCTATTATATATTTAACATGCCTTTAAAATCAATAAGATGGGGGAGAGAGAGTTCATTTTACTAGAATTCGATGATTTAAAAAGGATTGAGTAAATCAGCTTTTGGTACAAATCATTTTCAATATTAATCGATCGGTTTAAAATTTTTTTTTTGTTGTAATGTAAATGAAATATCTTATGTACAAACAAGAAAATTTATAAAATATACATACATATTACGTTAAAAAGAAATAATAACTTATATATAAAAAGTTACATTTCGTACAGTATTATTTTTGTAATACTGCTATATATATAAAATGTAATTATATAAGCACTGCATTAGTATAGCGATGATATGTAAACTGTAAAGTACAATTTTAATATAAATATTTTATATCATGAAATAAGTTCTTTCTTCATTTATTTTATATTCAATTATTTTGCGCTTTGTATATTACTTGATTTCTTTGACGGTTTTAGATATTCTCGTAGACTAATGTACGTATCTTGCGTGTAGTCGTTTATTTCCGCTGATACTGCCTGATATTGAGTATAAACATGTATGGTTGCCTCTGCTGTATTATTACAAACAATTATGTAACAACCGATGAATAAGCAGTGTATGACGATAACGAAATGGGAATGCATTTTAGTCAGATGGAATCCAATCCATTCTAAGACGGCAAAAAGCTGTTGTCGCATTTGTCGATACATATCAAAGCAATTTCACCTTTTCTCATTGATAATCAGATATTTATAATTTATTAAATCTATAAAAGATATTACGTGTTTGTTGAAGTAATATATGTAGTTATTATATTATTTGATTATTATAATTTATAGGGCATAAACATTGTTGTTTTATTATATATAGTAATACTTTATATATATATTTATATTTTTATATATTATATATATAACTAATCTTTTGTAATTATTATAATAGTTTCAAATTTAATACACACAATTTATTATTAGATATATGTATATTATAATAATATTATGTATGTACATACAGTATATTTTTGAAATATATATTAATTAACAGATAACTATACGAAAAAACTTTTCAAGAAATAAACTATATCTTTTTGACTTGCAGTGGCGAACTTAAGAACACGCACACATATTTTATGTTACGAGAATCATGGCAGTTAAAATCCACTTAACTTTAACTGGTGCTTAGAAGAATGATCTATACAAGGTGATTCTAGGCTTTTTCTTATAAAAAAAAATTAGAAAAGAAATAGGCTTCCTAGAAATTTTATTCTTTTGCATCTATGCACCTACAAAATATAAATATATTTTTTAAATAAAAATATATTTCCGTCGCATAAATCTCAATTCTTCACAATGTATTTCATATGCAATAGAAAACTAACACATAGCAAAGTTATATATGATATACATATATATGTATAATAATTTTAATGCTGTTATGTGAGAAAAAACTTTTAACAAATGAATCTGATTCGCTCTTATGCGATCGACCTTATTAAGTTAATCGCTTTATGTTAGTTAGTTTCGCAGAGAATTAATTTGCTTTGTAGAAAATTTCCAAGTATAATTGTGTTAAAAGTTTAAACATGCGGCCGAACCACAACTAGCTAATAATTCGATAGAGCTACTTATGTGATAATGCTTCTCGCGTTCTTCCGGAGAAGTCGTTAGACGGTCAACCGCGAACGATTAAAATCGTCCATCCGTTTTTTATTAAAATGATCCTCTTGAATTCAGAGCAAATGTTAATTCGAAATTAGTTTTTGTATTTATTATTACATATTATATCTTAACGTCATGTGCGCCTACATATTTGCATGGGAATACAATGTTAATTCTGTGTAGTTCTATTATAGAAAAGAGTGTGCCACAGTTTCGCAACGATTACTTACGTAGCAATCGATCACTTAGTCATTTGTCGCTGACTGTAGTTGGCATCGAAATAATCGAAACATCTTTTGTTTTGTAAACTTACACAGAATCACACCTAATTTGTATATATCTTCCGCAGATAATAATTATAACAATTACAGCATTGTGTATTAATGCTATATGTCTATATATATATATATACATACATAAAATTGCATTATTTTGCTCAAACTATTATCATATCTGATGTATAAAGAAATTACACAGAATTATTGTAGAATGAAGATTATAGAAATTTCAGTGTTACTTCACTAAAATTGTATTTTATATAATTTTAAGTAAAATAAGTAATATTTTATTTTTAAAGAGCAAAAAATTTGATTGAACGTTTGATAAAAGCAAAATTTTGTCGTTTCAACTGACAATTATTCATTCACAAAAGAGTCATGAAATATAAAAGCGTGTTAGTGCACAATTTATAGGCGTACACAAAGGTTAAAACGTCATAGTGTATAAATGGAAAAATAAAATTGAATACGACACATTGGAGCGCGTGCACATATAACACACATGCGTATGCATAGAGCGTCCGGATACTCCATTCAGTTACGGATTATCTGCAGTATTTTTCTTTAGCAAATATTTAAGTTAGGAAGAATCTATCTTTTTAATACACAAACCGAAGTATCTAGTACCCAATCCTCAAATAAACATCATTTAGGACAAACGTAAAATTGTTCGAAATGAAATAAAGAAACAGAGGAAAGGAAAAAAGGGGAAGAAAAGAGTTCGTCTCTGTTGTAACTTATTGTTAGAAAAGTTGATATCCTCCATCGCTAATTTCTCAAGAGAATCATATTTGGCTACTAAAACTACCGATTTTCTTTTTTACTTTTACTTTCGCCTACGTAGCTCTTGTTTCCAGTACTAACGATGATATCGAAATACACCGTTCTCGTTCTTTACATCCGCATGATGATACACGCAATTTATCAAATGTGCATTGATGTAGGAAGGAATGAAACCTTGAGAGTCATGACTATACAGATACTTGAACCAATACTTTCACTTACTGTCAAGTGGTTGTCTACTGTTGGCTTCTCCAGAAAATGAAATTTCGTATAAATAGACGATTGTGAAATTTATGTAACTTTTAGAAGAATCGAAATAAGTGTGTTTATATAATAGTATTCCGCTATTGTTTCGTAAACTTACTGCAGACTTTATAATACAGAAAATTCTTGTCGAACTATAATTATCTCTGTCTTCTAAAGGCTTTAAATAAGTAGTTAAGTTAATGTCCTTACAATTAAATGTTAAAAGTTTTAAAAGGAAAATTCCTCTTGTTATTAAAACTATTTTATTTATAATAAAATTATTATTTGCGAGAAATAAGATATCGTCCGTTAAGAACCTAATATTATATTACTCAAGGCGGGGGAGTAGACATGGAAGGAGATTATCATTTTTTTTCATTGCCGATACAAATCTTGCTGAATCAGTCGCCTGACAATGGCAGTGTTAGAATGTTAAAGTTGCCTCATAATGTGTAAAGAAGAGCATGATTTGCAAATTTTTTTATACGGCGACGAATCATCGATATGCTGGAAACTAATTGATGCCGGTTAACCAATAAAAGATTAATATTGTATATATATAAAAAATGCTGATTGAATCGCAAATTAAATTACAGCTTAATCAAGTTCACAAATACTTGAACTTGCAAGGCTTTAATAATGTATATCAGAATTTTCCCTAAGTAAGACCAATTTGTCAGCAGTATTCCTTTTTAAAAGCAATTTGATACAATTTTACAAATAGATATTTTATAAATATAATTATTATAGTATTTCAATACTAAAGCATTGAGAGAATAATGATTTTACGTAAATTAAATGTAACGATGATGTCACTGCTTGCGAGAGAATTTTTATCATTTATCGTTATTATATAAATTGAATATTTTGGGATCAAGAAAGTCGCGACAGAAGGTGGCAATGTTCTCGACTGCTAACAAGTATTGAGAACCCTTGACGCATAATCGATCTCACTCTTGCGTGCGTGCAATGCACAGGTTGTTCCGTGTTATACGAGCTTTATAAATACCTCAGACAAACAAGTTGGTTACACAGTCTGCCATAATCTCGCTACTCGTCTCCAGAGAATACAATCTGCAGGTTCGGTCTAATATGATTTTTCATCTCCATTTCTCTTCATCTGTCTCCTATTACAAATAATTCGTTAAAACTGTTAAAGTGATAAGACTAAAATTGTGAATATTTGTGATTTACGATGCGCAAGATCGACTTTGTAATATACATAGAATTCGGCGAGTGCTTGAATCGTTCCTCATTATGTGATAATTTATGAACGTGGAATCTTGCGGAATCATTTTCCACGTGTACTCAGTTAGTGTATAATTGAATGTGTAAAGCCATAATACACTTGTTCGTTATAACTTATAGCCTCTAATTGACAAGTTTTCTTTTAACTGATTGAATAACGCAAATTTATGTATCTCACATTTGAATTTGTTTGAGATAATGTTGCCTAATCAAATTGTGTCATCTAATATTTTGATTACCCTTCTTCATTTCCTTCTGTTTTTTTTAATCACGCACGGATAATTAGTTATTCCTTTTTAAATATAAAAAGCACGTATCATTGAAAGTAGTTTTGTGCTGCTCAAATACTCCCGAATGCCTGACGTGCGATCGATCACATTGGCCACTTCATTAATAGAGCGTCGCGCGTTTTCGCAGATTTCAAGATGCCCATCGATCTTTACTTAGTTGTCGGAAGTGCACCATGCCGGGCCGTGCGCTTAGCAGCGGCGGCCATAGGAGTGGATTTAAACCTGAAGAACGTGGACCTCAAGGCCGGCGAACACCTGAAACCTGAATTTATTAAGGTGACTTATAATTTTGTAAAAAATGAAGCATATATGGATATAAATGCAAATGAATCCTTAAATTAAATTATCTTTATATTGTTACGTCTTTATATTGTACGTCTAAGCCATGAGGATTTATTTACGTTTATTTTAAAAGAGAAAAGACTGAGATGAAGGAGATATGAAAGGATGCGGGTTAGACATTCTGCAGGTACAATATATATAGGAGCGTGTTGCGTGTCAAATATGGCTTTTATGATTTTGAATATAGACCAACATCCTGGAAAAAATGTTATAGTATCTCTTTTGTGAAGCAGTGCGATTGTCGATCTTATTTTCCAATCAAGGGATTTAATTCCAATAACCTGTGATTGAACCTCGTGCGATCTTTATAAGGCAAGGAATTAAGAGCAAGGATTTTAACTTAAATAGATAGAAATAGTGTTACTTAACGTCTAAGATTTAATAATGAAATTGTCAATTTACGTTAACATTGCCGAGTATATATGTTATAATTTTTGTGAATAATTAATAATCACAAAATTAATAAAAATTTTGTGAATAATTAAATAAAATAAATGTGTAAACATATAGTATGAGTGTATGGGAGCAGAGAAAGAATTAAATATAATGAATCTATTTCCTCAATTGTAGCCGAGATAAAAGGAGGAAAATATTGTATAAAAAAAATACTAGGGAAATTGAATAAGGAAAAGGAGATAGAAAGAGAAAAATAAAAATCTCGATATCATAGTCTTGTCTAGAAACAATAGATCAAACTTCATCGAGATTGAAATTGTCGGATATCGATCGTATAAGTGTCGAGGGATAGAGAGGTAATTAATTGAAGAAATTGAGATATTTGTGATTCTAGTGAATTGTATTGTCTAAAGTTATAATATTTAAGGAGAGAAGAAGAGACAGGAATTTTGCCCACAAATTTTACTTTCGAAGTTGTGGAATATGTGGAGAAGAGGGCGTGAAGTTGTTCAGGGAAGTAAACCAAAGAATATGATGATGGGGAAATAGAAGAGATAAAAGGAGGAGAATCGGAAAATATTCATTCAGTTAAAGTGGATGAAGAGGGTGAATCCTGTTCGAAGGTAGCATAGTCAAACGAGAAAACAAGAGGAGAAATCGTTCACTAGAAAGTTTACCAGAAAGAAGTCCTATATCACCTAGAGAATCCGGAGCTGTAGAGCAAAAGAAGAGGGCGCGATAACTAAATCTAAGCTATTCGTATTTTTTAGCTAGAGTTTTTTCCTGGAATTTGCGCACTCGCCTGTTTTGTCCATTCTAGACTTGTTTAACATTCGCTCTGAATTTATGGATTCTAACGAATCGGTGGAACTCAAATGTCCACTAAATAAGTTTAACTGATTTGTGGTTCGTTTCAGTTATTCCGTAATTCGAGATTAAATTTCTCTTGATATTCAAGAATATATCAGCAAATTTAATTTTTTTTCTTCTTCTATTGCCTCTATTTGGATTTCTAACTTTATATATTTTAAAGGTCACAGTACTTTCTTTATTGAAATTGAATTATAGCAGAAGTCTCCTCAAGGAAGCTCCCTTGATGCCATTAAATTTATTCATAAAAGGTATTAGAACACAATGTACTTAGTCCGCGCGCGTGTATGGAATTATGATTTCTTAATTCACGAAAAAATACCGACCTCTTAATGAAGCATAGTGTGGAGCGAAAGCTAGGATTGAAACCGGAACTCAACTATCAGACGACCATGCAACGTGTGAAGCCACGCGACGCCACTCAACGTCTCTATTGTCTTTCAGAACTGAGTACCCTAAATAGAGCTTTATACAGAACAATGGAAACCGTGCATTTATTGACAGGATTCTACAAAAATCGTAGATCCGCGTCAAGACTCCACATTTATTAGGAAGACAACATATTTGTCGCATATTTGGACAATATTTGCTTATTACCAATTTCCTGTTAAAATTTGAAATCTTATAGCACGCATTGGTGTCAAATTTTATTGCCACTGACCAAACGAATCTGACAAAAATCATGTTTTATCTGTTTCCTCTTGTCTAAATCTTATCATCTGAAAGATCTGTCACGTTTTTACAAGACGTAACAATAGCAAAGACGCAAAAATATATAGTATTTATAATTTTTTTTTTAAATAACTTACTTAAAAATTTATGATACTTTTCTTTAATTAATGTTTTTTAACAACTCTCCGAGAGTTTCAATTGCAAATTGCTTAAGCATTTTTTTTTAAATACATAGATAGTAATGTTTATGTTGCGCAATATTTATTGATGTTTTTAATATTCTTGATATTAAAAATATTAAAGGTGTAAAAACATTTTATGTAAATAACAAAATGTTTCATTACAAAAACTTTAAACGTTCTGTTTACGTATAACATGTTATTTTCATTTTTTGTATATAAATTTGCTTTCCAATAATAATCGATATGTTAATGCTAGAAATACATATACGGTTATGTACAATTGAAACATGTTATGTGCAAATTATTCAAACATGTTTTCTTTAAAAACTGTTCCTTTAAATGTAAAAAAAGGCAGATCCTTTCTGTTTTATAAGTTCTTATAATTAATTTATTGAATAAAAATATACTTCAAATTTCAAAATAATTTAAAATAATTGTTGCTTTATTATATATTTTGTTTATAGATGAATCCACAACATACAGTGCCTACACTGGATGACAATGGCCTACATATATGGGAAAGGTATTTATTTCTTAATTTTTTTACCTTAACATTTAGCGAATGTCGTAAATCTGACATTCATACATATAAAATAAGTATATTATCTCTATAATAATTAACGACTTCCTTTTTTTGATAGTTTAATTTACTTGGTATTAGATCATATATTTGCTTAAAGCTGATTTAGATTTACGAATTCTTTCAGATTTACAAAGTCGTATACAAATTCTTTAGTAAAATTAGCGTTAGTTAATTATTATTATAATATTTATTATTCGAGTGCTCGCATTGATTTGCAGCCGCGCGATTATGACTTACCTGGCCAATCAGTATGATAAGAACGATTCTCTTTATCCAAAAGATCCAAAGAAACGAGCCTTGGTTGATCAGAGACTATATTTCGACTTGGGAACTCTATACCAATCTTTTATCAATTATTATGTAAGTCATCCCTGGGTCGTATAATATTTCATAATATGTAATGGTTAACAGAATCGATGATTATATATAATAAACATTAATTACAGTATCCACTGGTAGTTACCGGCGTCACTCCGGAGCAAGCAAAATACGATAAAATGAACGATGCCTTGTCTTTCTTAAATAAATTCCTAGAAGGGGAAAATTATGTGGCGGGAAAAACTCTAACTCTCGCCGATCTTGCCTTAGTCGTCACCATTTCTAATTACCAGGTAGAAAATTAGTTTTGCACAAGTATACGTCACCGGTTCATTAAAACATGTAAATTGTGAACGTGGCAGAAAAAATATTTCTGCAGATTTAAACAAAAAAAAATTGTTTTTAAAAAGTAAAATATTAATAGTTTTATTATTATTTGTAATATTAATTTCAAGTAAATTTTTACACTTTTAAATTCATGTGTAACACTTCACTATATGATATAATGTGTACATATTTTAATTACAAATAAAATCGAAAACATAAATTTATCAAAGAAATAGTTTTGTAAATCATTATAACAAAAATAACAATCGAATTTGTAATTTAAATGTTAACATTTCTTTTCTTACAGCTTGTGGATCATGACTTGAGTAAATATAGCAACATTTTGAGATGGTTCGCCAAAATCCAAGCCGAAGCTCCTAAATACGGTGAAGTCGAAGGTGTCGGTATGAAGGCATTCAAAGATCTTGTCGAAAATATTAGAAAAAAGAAGTAATCTCATGGCATTGTTTTAACAGTTGTGTAATGCATTGGTACTTTCATATTTTTACAATAATTTGTCTTACAGTATTTTTACATATTATAGATTTTGATTTTAAATAAACAAATTATTATTGTTAAACAGATAAAAAGAGTACTAATTTAAAGCATGTTCTCTCTAAATTCTAATAAAAAAACTCTTAAAAATTAAAGAGAATAGAATAAAAAATCTGATAAACATTAAAATGTTGTTTATTATTGATAATAAATTTTAACGTATAAATAAATTAATGAACTTGAAACTATGGTATAAAGAAAACTGTAAAGAAAATATATTTAAAAAAATAAAGAATATGACGATAGTATTATTATTATTACTACGAATTTCTTTTTTGGAACACACATATTAATATAATAGAATATATCTAATAAGAAATTATTATGCACATAAGAACTGATTTTAATTCTACATAAATATATTCAATTGTAGATAATACAAAAGTTGTGCTATTTTACACGATATATTTCCAAATATAAGATTAGTTAATATTCCATTTGCAATTACCCCTTATAACATCCGAGGAAAGTTATAATTAAAATATTACAAGATAATACACGTTCTCCGTAAAATTTCATGGGTTTAAAGTTGAGAATTCTCACCTCTACTGGTCATTTAATAACAGGAAAACTTTAGCATAGTTTTCATGAACGGTCTGCCCTTAGAGAATCTTGACCTAGCTTGGGCATGGTTTTGTCGCGAACAAAAAGTTTTCACGACCAGGCCAAAATCTTTCTCTTTCCACTGGAAATGTAATTAACAAGTAAATTCCATCATATCGGCCGTCGCAAAGTTATGTCATATATGCAAAGCAAATTTAAAAACTACTAGATTAATTAATAATGTAATCAAAAATTTTATTCTAATAAAAATTCTTTCTTATTTAATCTATTAGGATTTATTTATTTATTATATATGAAAAGAATTTCATATTGTACATATAAAGAATATCACAAAATTTTTTTTTCGCGCATATGACGTGTACAATGTGATTCTTTATATCAGACAACTTTTTCGACCCCCGTATAAGTTCTTTCACTATTTCTTTATTTTAAAGATTTTATATTTATAACAACTGTATATGATATTTAAATATCATTTTGAATACTTTTTAATTCATATGTTTAAAGCAATGACTAAAAGGCTACAATTCCTAAAATGGAAAGTATCATATAATTCTTTAAATACAAATTATTTCTAAAAAAAAATTTATTAAAATTTCTGATATTAATAATTTTTCTAACAAAAGAGAATTTTTATTTCCATTTCGCACCTTTTATAACGATAATCTTCGAATATTCGATATTAACGAGTCTCTCGAACTGTGAACCGTCCGTTCTCATTATGTCCGTAATTTGCCACTAATAGTCGGTCTGCCTTAAATTTGATGTTCATTTGACTCTACTCTCTAAATAACGATAGCAATTACAGTATAAGAGTCTATACTTGCATCAATCGTATTTTGTCCGTGATTGTAGAAGTTACAAATACTATAAAAATAAAACTATGTAAAAATTTTAATATATAATACTCAAGCGCACTGCACAAAAAGATATTAAAGCTTATATTCATTAATGTCATATTAGGTTTCAAATTAATTTTAATACTTTTAAAATTATATATGTGTATTATATATAGCTTCTTTTTTTATTTTATTTAAACTGTATTTTATAGTTGTTTATAGCATAGTTTTCAATCCTCAAAAAAACGTAAGTAAAGCTATCCATCTATCTGCGTCTATCCATCATAAAAATCTAATAAAGGTCAAAGCTACAGGCTGACAGTAATATTTAAATACATGGCAGTAATATCGATTCGATGAAAAGTTATAGTCCAGGACTGTTCAGTCTTCGTGCAAACCTGGATCTGTGCATACATATGTTTTCGCGAAAAAACGAATACTTTACTTATTAATTTAGAATTAACAAAGAGATAATATTTGTGAACGGATTATAAACTACGTGAATAACATATACATTAATCGAGCAAATTGACCTATTTTAAAAATAAATAATGCCCGTGTTATATTATTTTCCTCTGAGTCCACCTTCCCGAGCTGTCATGCTCGTGGCAGAGGCAATAGGGCTCGAAATGGAATTGATAGTATTGAACACGATGGCTGGTGAGCATTTGACACCGGAATACGAGGAGGTATGAAAAATTAATAGTGTTTAAATACAATATTAAATAAAAATACTTCTGTTATTTTAGATAATTTCATAATTTGGACATAAAATATTATCGAAAAAAGCACTATAGTTTTTAATATTAGAAAGAGCATAATTTTATTTTTCAGTTAAATCCACAAAAGACAGTTCCTTTCCTAATGGACGATGATCTTAAATTATCAGAAAGGTCTGTAAAAGAGTCTTAATAAGTATCATGTAGCTTATCTTATATTAATATACATTATATATATACATTATTCTATTTTCATTAAGAAATGATATATTTTAGCCGAGCTATCATGGCTTATTTAGTCGATCAGTATGGCCAGGATGATACATTATATCCGCGCAATATAGAAGCACGTGCTTTAGTTAATCAACGATTATATTTCGATCTTGGTAATCTTTTTCCAGATATATTCAATTGTTACGTACGTGTATATTTCATTATTTCTAAATAAACCATATTGAGGCTACATGCATATGACCGATCATTGCACATTCTGTGATTGTAGTTGAAAGTCTTGAGAAAGGAAGTCGATACGTGTGATCCAGCACAATATGAAAAACTAATAGAGGATTTTCAAATCATGAACAATTTTCTTGAAGGACAAGCTTACGTGACTGGAGATAATTTAACGATCGCTGATCTTTCCTTAGTTGCGACAGTAACAACAGCGATGGTAATTTTAATAGTGTTATGTAATATTAATTGACTACAATTATTATTAGAACAAATTAAAATGACAAAATGCTACGTGTTAATTCTTTAGTGCAGCATTTCTTTTATGTAGATATTTTTAAGATTATTCTTGCTTTCCTATTAATAATTTTATATGGATTTAGTTGCTTTGTTGTCAATTGTTAGTTGTCACATATCTAAAACTTATTTTTGAGATATGCAAAACTAATCGATTGTTTGTTAGATTTTTGAGTTTGATTTGGGAGAATACAATAACATTTCTAACTGGTTGGAGAGAATACAAACATCTGTACCTGGATACGAAAAAGTTAATGGTGAACCTGTCGAGATGTTCAAGCAAATGGTTCAAGCTTCACAAGGCAATACAGAAGAAAGAGAAGGAGAAGGAGGAGAAGAAGCAGAAGAAGAAGAAGAAAAAGGAGAAGAAGATGGAGAAGAAGAAAATGAATAATATACACGTAATATATGTATAATTTTAATTCAAATCTTCAAGCTGAACACATTAAATATATAAAACGTTTACGTGTAATGCTATCAATTAAATTTTAATCAAGTAATTATGTAGAAAAAAGATTGTCTATTGTATAAGGTTTTTATCAAAACTCATATTTAAAACGATTGTACGTTGATTTTTAAACACTTTATAATATTATTTAAATTTCTGTATTTTTTGCATATATTTTATAAATATAAAAATAAGAATACAAACAAATAAAGAAGTACTGCAAGCATAACATATTATAAGATAAAAAAGTAAATTATTAATATAATAACAATAAGTCTTAGTGTTATATTAATTTTGAAAAATTACATCATTTGATTAGTTTCAAATTATATTATATGTAATTCCTATAATTTCTTATTATTTTCTAAATTTCTATTTCTTTTTGTTGGAAATTTAAAACATCGAAGATGAGTAATATGCCGATTGATGGTAATGCCACTACTAAAATTCTACATTATTCACATTCAACATATGTCATCTCATTTATGTCATATGTCGGATAATGATCTTCTGAAGATTACAAAACACACTATAGGAAACCTATTTTTATTTATAACATCTTGTATAATTAATTAATTATTTGTATATTTTATTCAACAAATTTTAACATAACAGAATTAATAGGAATTTATTTAATTCTTGGAATATAAAATACAACATTATTTAAATAATTATTACTCTTCAATTGATCTATGATAGAAACAGTTGCAACTCATAATGGTAATAAGAAACTATTATTTTATCATATGTGTACTTTATATAGAAAATTGAAGTAAAAATCCGTTTATTTTTATAAGTAATTAAATATATATTAAATTAATACATATATTAACGTACATAATTATATTGAATTGTATAATAATAATAATAGAATTGTGTAATTAAAGTATTATATTATACAGACACATAGCATGTAAGAGTGTCAAAAAAATAAACATAAAAAAAGCAATAAAAATAATTGTAAACATGGTCATATTATTTACTGGAATGTTGAATGAATATGACTACGCGTATGCGCATGTAAATGTACTACTTCCAATAAGGGTATTTTTAATTTTAACAATACATAATTATAATATTATTATAATAGCGATAAGACGTTGTTATCAAAGCTTTTAGTATTTTATCGTAAGTAGATAGTTGTATTTGTCATCTATAAGAATAATTTACATTCTATTGTATTGTGTATAAATATATATTATATATATATATATAATATGTCAAAATATTACATTATTATGTTTTATTATTATCTCCGACTTATAAAGTAATTACATAGAATGTTGTTAAAAGAGTAACTATAATAAAGTGTATTACGTAAAGGTCTGTGCTCGTGGAAAGTAAAATCGACATCATTTCTTACAGTTTTGATGTGATAAGTCCAAGGGTGCTAATTAAAATTACGTCATAACACAAAAAATTTATTTTAATGTCAGGGTATAGCGCGTTGTGTTACAATTATTCATGAGACAGCTCGCTACGCTATATGTATCGATAATACACAATATAATACATTATGTTTTGACATTTAAAATATAGAAGCTTACAAAATGTCATATTTAATATCAAAAGAATCGAACGCAACGGAAAGTTTTCTAGCGTTTGCA